TGATCTAATGTGAGATGTGGGGTACTTTTCTCAAGGAGAAAAATGCCGGTCAATGTTGGTTTTGAGTCAACATGTGATTTTGAAGTTCAGATTGAGTACTATGCGAGTGTCTTTATTTTCGTATAAGGTTACGATTTTCAAATCGCAAGTTGTTTTTTTTTTTTAATTTAGAAAAAAGAAAGCAGTATGCAGTTCAATAAATACTCCCCGTACTCAAAGTTGTTGAAATGGCATGGTAGCTATGGAGCATAATGAGTTTTTGAGGATATACATAGGATGGTCTCAATTGAGGGGCAGGGTTTGAGATGTTTGTCTCTAAAATGGGCTGTTCCTGAATACCTGACTCTAAGTGACTCAGGGTATGGTCAAGAATGAGGATACGTCAATTCTGTTATAAGAAAGAACAAGCTGAGAGAACAGAACCTGGTTTTTACCTATACCTGTGCCAGCTGTGATCTCTGACAATCTTTCAGACCCTCATCTGAAAGGAGATATGATGCCAGGCTGCCTTCTGATGCCGAAATGAGTAAGAATAGCAATGAATTGGGGAAAAGGGTAGAAGTGAACTTGTGATCTTTTGTGCTTTGTGTCTCTGTAGGTCTGATTTGGCATGCGACGAACCATGGCACTAAAATTGCTTGAATTCAGCAGTCTTGCTTTAATATCTTTCTTTAAGTACAGACTGTCAGTGTGTCTATATACAACTATATAGAAAAGATCTAAAACTCAAAGGTGATTGAGAACTGCTAATTTTCAAATTTGTGAATGCGGTATTTTCCAAAATAAGAGACCCAAGCAAACATCCAAAAAATGAGTGCTTTCTTCCATGAGTGCTTAAGTTAATATGAAAGTTTTCACATTAATCTTTCATAAGATGTGCCTATTTTAAGTAGAAAACATAGTAAAAGCAGCTTTTTTTTTTTCTTTGAAGATTCATTTGCGATTAGGAGAGAAGCTTTGTGAAATTCACTATTTATTGTAAAGCAGGGCTGATAACAAATGTTAATAACTCTTAAGGCACTATACTAATAGAAGATGTTTTGGTATTTGGGGGGATTTCATATGCCTAGGCAGTGGGTGGTTACAGATACTTACAACCATGGTATAACCAATGTATATATGCAAAATACATACAGGCAGTCATTTTCTAGATGAAACAACATTTAGAAAATGCTTGCTAGTACCTCAGTATTGCATTATTTTCAGACAATAATTTGGAAGTAAATTTATGGCATCAGCTTTTTTTATAAGGATCAAGGTGATGTGCCCTGTTGGTGTTATGACTTGGCATGCTGCTGAGCAGTCTTCGTGCTTAGCTACAAGGTGTGTGGGAGTGTTAATATTCTCCTTTAGTAACCTTATACACTTACCCCTACCTGTGAGGACAAAATATGCGGTTGGCTTATCACCTCAAGGCAGATTTTAAGCAGGTGCTACCAGTTCGGTGTTCTAGGAATTCTTGAACCCAGTGGCTGCTTTTAAAAGGTATGAGTGAAAACAGGCCAAGGAGGAGGCAGGTTATTGCGTGTTATTTGTGTTGAAGTAGGGGGGTTGTTCTACTTGATTTCTGCTAGTGTCTAAGGAGGCCAGTGAACTATGGAGCCCCAAAGGGTACATAGAGCTTTATGATGCTCTGAAGGTGGGTTCTGGGGTTGTGGGAAGAAAATCAGATCGGTTATGTGAGCAATGCAGGGAGGTATGGATGTAACATTGGAAGAAACCAGGACAGATGAAGGCTAAAACCTTCTTTAGGTCAAATTTTGTTCCTGTATCTTAGTCATAAAGATGTCCTTACGTTTGAAGCTTCCTTACCAGTCAGTAAAATAACTATGTTTAGATAAACTGAGAGTTTTCCAAGTGTGCTGGTTACATAAAGGTGGGAGCATAGAGAAGAATGCTTTGTGTGGAAACTAATCACAAAAATTGACTTAACCGTTGTATTGTGGAATATCTTTCCAGAGGAAATTAGACTAATTGTTTCAATCTTCTGCTTTTTTGTATAGTGGACTGGATACAGTACAGCTATGTATACTGTAGTGAATAAGCTCTCTTGGGTGGAAAGAAACTGGGTTTTAGGACTCCTGTGATGATTATTATAATGTGTTAAAAATTCCACAGATCAGCATGTGGCTAATATTGCAGACACATTTGTGGACAGGTCATGCTAAAGCTATTTCAGTAAGAATAATTAGTCTGAGTTTAAGTTAAAAATTCGTCGTTACTTAAGAATATATGAATCGGGGTTAAATGTATAATTGGCTTTTTATTAGGGACACAATAGGGAAGTGTTTGAGCTGTTGGATAGATGCTTTGCTACAGAGGAACTAAGCTAGCCAGTGTTTTCAGATGTTTTAATGGGTATCTATTCTCAGTACTATGAAAAACAGAATTACAGTGAGATATGACAGAGCCAAGTATTATCTCCACAATCTTCTTCAAAGTTGGAGTTTGACACAGTTTCTTTCTTGCCCAAACACCCCTCCCTTGAGAGTTCCTAACTAAGAGCAAGCATTTCTTTTAATTTCCAGAATTTATCCTACTCTCCCTGCTGTTTACAACAACCTGCCCAGGACTTTTAAAAGAAAACTCCTCACATACACCTTTTCCTTCATACTGCTTATTCTTAGGGTCTTGCTGTTTAGCTGCTCTAACCTCTTCCCCCCGACAATCCCAACTTCTTACCCACAGTATCATTAGCTGCTATAGTGTGCTGAGCCTGGCACTTGGTCTTCCTGCTAAAGCTCCAGCTTCTCTTTCTGTCAGGTATTTCAGAAATGCAGGAAAAGTCTTTAAAGAAAAGCCTTACCCCTGATTGGAGCCTGAAAGCACAAAAGATGTGTGCCAGGAAACAAGAATGGACGTATGGTATCAACTGATGGGCGAAACTGTTCGAAGCTTTTGACATGTGCGTGAACACATGCAAGCTGATTCTCAAAGCTTTTGACATGTGCGTGAACACATGCAAGCTGATTCTACCACCAAGTAATTGTGATGCTATTAAATTTTCTGGTCAAGAGGTTTGCATTGCTTCTGGAGGTAGTAAATCTTCCCTTGCTGGTCTCTGACAAACAAGAAGTCTGTCTTGCCAGGCTTTCATCTTGCAGAGTGTGTAAAGAGGTGCTAGAAGCTCCTCTTTATGTCAGAGGATATAGGGTATACCTGTCCCTGTATATACAGCATTTCTGCTTTAGTAGCCCTCGGGGGAAGAGTGGAGCAGCACCAGGCAGGGAGACTGTGTGGCTTCAGTGTCTTCCTCGTGCAGGCAGCATTACTTCTACCCTGAGATCAATGGAAATGATGGTAGAAGCTAATGGGGATAAGTGATGGGGCTACTCTTGTAATGTATTCTGATAACTCTGCAGTCACGTCTTGAGTATGACCTAGTGACTGGTGTATTGCCCATTATTAACATAATTCTGAAAGGCAGGAAACTGAATTTGTTCCTTCATAATTTCAGTTAGAAATCAATCATGAAGTACATAATTTTGTTTAGGTACAATTTGTAGATGAAGGTAGTAGAAACAAAAACAAACGTTGCTACAGGAATTAAGAGTTTAAACTAGATGTAACACAATTGTGAGCTGGGCGTTTAGAATTGATTTTAATGTGAAATCTGTTTCTTATGTGAATGTAAGCTTCCCGATTTTCTGTTAGTGTGAGAAAATTTTTTTAGGTTTGTCATGTTAACATGGGTCTGGAGCTGAGAATGCAAAGAATGTTGGAATAATGCAGAAGACTGATAATCTTTTCTCAAACCTTTCATTGAAAGACTGATTTAGAAGCTTGTCAATCTGCTAAGTGGTCTTCACAGAGGACATACAACTTTCTCCAATAAGGTTAAAGATACTTTCTCTAATTTGTTGGATATTCTACCCTTCAGGTTATCTGTAAAAGGAGCAAGGGAAAGGACAAGAAAACTGCCTGCAATTCTTAGTTTTTATTCTGAGATTCCAGTACATCTAGATCCCTGTTTACATTGAAAACGTTTATCATTGCTTTTGTGTAGGAAGTGAAGCAATTTTGGAAACATGCCATTTTGTCTTGTGACTGTTTCTTTTATAGAACTATTTTCTAAAAGAAGTAAACTTCTTTTATAGAATTATTTTTAATCCTGAAAAAAGGAAGCTGTATCCTGTCTTGTACAACATTTTGCAATATGGTAGTGGGGAAAGTCTTTCTTACTGTGCTGTAAGATGTGAATTAGCATACTTTTATCCAAAACCTAAAGAAGTTAAAATACTAAGTTTCTACACATGCTGGTATGTGCTTTACTAAAACAAAGTATTTTGTTTGTTCCTGGTAAACAGTCCTTATTAATAAAAAATATTCTACCATAAGATGGAAATAATTGGAAATAATTATTTGATGTTTTTTGTTTAATAAATGTGGATTGTAGTAGGAAGATTACTATTCTAGGAGTTTGATACTGATGCTCAGATTGAGTCAAGGATTGCAGAAAGTCTAAAACAGTGTGTAGGAAAAGGGAATTGAATTTATTTGTAAATTATTATGAGTTTTTTCTTTTCAGGAGAAAGGTGAAGCTACTAGATTCTGCCTGGATAATTGTTAACAATACTAGTATATTACGTAGCTGCTTCACCCAGTGTAAAACTGTTTTACAGTTTATAACACAAGGCTTGTCTCTGCCCATATTGCCAATTTAGGATATCATAACATGGCAAGACTAACTGCTACAAAGATCTACTAACTTCTCACTGCTTCGTCTGAAAAGATATGACCAAAGCCCTGAAATTCATACATCCTGAATACAAAGGAAGAGGACAAGAAAAAAATTGAAAAAGTTTGACTTCATAATGTTTTGACTTTATGAAAAGTGGACTTACTTGAGGTTGTCTAATAGGCTTGTGTAGGCTAGGGCAAGGAAAAGGGTAAGCATAAGCTGCATTAATTGGTATTAATTATAGAATCCTTAGAGTGATTTTTTTTAAATTTCTTTTTTCCCAAATTCTAATACAATCTCTCCATTTTTTCCCTACCAGTATCCCCTTATGTTTGGACTGATCCTTGCATTCTGCTGGTGTTCTTTGGTTTGCTGTAGTCGAATTTATATGGGAATGCATTCAATTTTGGTAAGAAAATAATCCTACTAAACTTTTATTTTAATGTTGTTCTGATTTCATAAACTTCCATCACACTTAAGTTTTTACAGTGCAGTAATTGTATATAGATTTTTTTTTTAGAATGTCCTACCATATAGGAGCAGAATACTTACATTTCTTCAGCAAGGAAATTGATACAATAGCTAAAAGTGGATGTTAAACTTCTGTTAACTTAGATTCTTCTTTCATAAACTCAGTCCACAGTTGAGACTTAGCTGATGTTTGGTAGCAGTTTTAGTGCAGAAATTGATGACTGCACTAAAGCGTAGACTAACTTTTCCTCTATAGAGTAGAAATAATTTTGCAGGTTGAGTGTGTGACTGTTAATGTCCACTCGGGTTCCACGTCAGCTACTCAAAGCATGTGCATTTCAGAGTGCCATGCTAAATGCTAGGGTTTCACTTTCCAAGGTTCTGAAGAACAAAATAACAAAGTTGTCATCTTTGAAAAACAGACTTGTTTATTAAAAAGGATTCAAAAAAAATCAGGCAATGTAAAAATGGGAAAACAAGAACACTACAAAATGGTGACCAGAATGTGAGACCACTAATAAGGATGGCTAAAGAGGTTTTTGAGGATCACTTGCTAGAAGGAGAAAAGCTAACAGTCAGAAAACGGTAAGCCTGGTAGTGAGTAGTAAAGCTGATAGATGAACACAATGTAAAAGAAGCATGTGAAAATAAGGCAGCTCAGAAAAGCTGAATGACATATTTGTATTAGTGATTAGGAGGCTTCCCAAGTCAGAACCACTTGTATGGAGAATGATGGGATGAACTGACAGGTAATGTCTTAGAACAAAGTCATGCAACAAATATTGATGAATCATTTACACTATTCACCAGTTTCGTATCTGAATTCTCTATAGTGTTTGACTGAATACAATTAGCCACATAATATAAATCAACCATGGTGCCTAAGATGGGGGCAGTTAGGGTGGCAAGTGAATAAAAATGATTCATTGAAGATGGAGCAATACAAATACTGCTGACGAAAGTCCCACCTCCTGGCTCATACGGAAAAGTTGATAAGCATGTGAATGAAGGTGATCCAGCTTCTAGTACTTGGATTTCTAAAAATCTTTCAATAAATTCCATCTTAACAACTAAAGGTGACTAAAATTGCAGATAATTCTATGCAACTGAGTGAATAATCAATAATGACTGAAATTTAATGATAAATATAAAAATACAGTAACCTTTTAGTTAAGAAAAGACATTTTAAAACAATAATAAAACTGAAAATCAAGTATGAAGCCACAGAAGTTACCTCTTCCTCTCCTTCAGTAGTTGGAAACAGTTCTCCATTCTTGCAGTATTGTTAATTCTGAAGCTGGAGTGGAAAGTCTAAGCTGCTCTAACGCCTTGCTGCAGTGGTCCTCAACTGCCTTACCAGCTGTTGCTGCCAGCATGCCTATGTGTTGGCACCCAGACACTTAGATCCAGTGCTGAGCTGTTCCAGCAAACTAAGTTGGCAGAACTTTGTGCTGACTGTAGGCTGGAATGCCCCAGTCCTGGGCAAGGACCATTGTAGCCAGCAGATAGGTAGATCTACAACTTTGATCATCGATCATTTGATCATAGCTTCATTCATGATCATGATACAGATGTCCTATTAATAGGTGATCAAATGCAATTCCTTACCTTATCTTTAACATAAAAAAGATTAATCTTGTACAGTAAGTGAGAAAAGATGGGAATCCACAAGTCGTTTGAGCAACAGAGCAACTAGGCTTGTCTCCATGCTAATGTAATGTAAATTATTTTTTAAAATAGTTATTACACTGAAACCATACCTTTCTCTCTCTTCAACAGGATGTTATTGCTGGATTTCTGTATGCTATTCTCATCTTGGTTGTCTTCCATCCGGTTGTGGACCTGATTGATAACTTCAACTTGACTTACAAATATGCACCCTTAATTATCATCAGTCTCCATTTAGCGCTGGGCATCTTCTCTTTTACTCTAGACACTTGGAGCACATCGCGAGGAGACACAGCTCAGATACTGGGCTGTGGTGCTGGAGTAGCCTGTGGCTCTCACGTTAACTACATAATGGGTCTAAAGCTAGATCCTCCTCCCGATACGTTACCTTTATCTCTTTCCTCTCTCACTGTGACTGTGTTTGGAAAAGCCATATTGCGGTTGTTGATTGGAGTAATAGTTCTGTTGTTAACAAAAATAGCGATGAAAAAAGCCACTATTCCACTGGCATGTAAAATATTTCGCATACCACATGACGATGTACGGAAAGCAAGACAACGCATGGAAGTTGAGCTTCCCTATCGCTATATTACATATGGAATGGTTGGGTTCTCCCTCATGTTTATTGTTCCTTGCCTCTTCCATTTTATTGGTCTTTCTTGATGCAGTTTTATCACTTTAAATAGAAAGAACAGAGCTAGTTGCTTTTTGAAGAGGTGCACTAGTTTTCTAAGGGAAGGCCAGTGAGCTTGGCTTTAGCAGGGTCTTCACTTTAACAGCAATACATAGCAGGCAAAGCATTTAAAGAACTTTGCACATCTTTGGGTATGGTATGGGGCCAGAAGTCAAATACCAGTCCACGAGAAGTGCTGAACTCTATAAATGCTATGTCTAGACTTAATGCTGTAACAAAGTCTCTGTGTGTGTGCGTGTGAGAGATGCAATGAATGTATCTGGAATGTCTGTCATACTGTACCTGTATACACTGACATTTTAACAGGTATGTCTGACAGCTAATCAGAAAGCTCCATTCATGATCTGTTTGCCATTTCATAGTAATTTATTCAAATTGTTGGACCATAGACTGCTAAATTTGCTTTCCTCTCTTCTTTTCTGAAGTCCTGCTTCAAGATGTTTCAGCTAATAGGCATTTCTAATGGACCAAACTTACAATGAGGTTGAATTTTTCTAAAAAAAAAAAAAAAGCAAACAGAAGCCTTTTTCTTTAGCCCCCTCTACAGAGTAAATGTCTGGATTGGCATTGATAGAGATCACTAGAGTGTATATAATTCAGGTACTGTATCATATGGTTTAATAACTGTGCCTTTCTGTTGCTAAATTAAGAAATGCCATATATACTGTGATGTAAAAATGCCTAATTTTATTTAAAATCCTACATAATTAGGCAGATATTTTTAAATGTTAGATTGTCCACATTGCTGGCATGGTTCAAATTAACTGGAATATTCAGTTTAGGCTGATCAAAATTGCATAAATGAAATGACCCAAGAATCGTGTCCTTAAGCTCAAGATGTTGTAAATGGACAATAATCCCTTTTGTAAGTATTTTTAACGTGTATTGTAAGTTACTGGAAGAGGATATATTTTTCTGGAGATTGTTTGTACAGTGGACAGATATTCAAAATTAATTATCTAAACATTTAAACAATAAAAACACCCCATTCTGCAAAGAAATGGGCCTCACTATTATTCCAAACTAATTTGGAAGGACCATTGTTTTTAGGTATTTGCTTAGAAAATATAATCCTTATTCTAGAAAAAATACATGTATTTTTATGCATTCACATACTATATTTAAAGGTGATAATCACTTTTACCCAATTTAGATAACTATAAGACAATATAATGATCAAATTAAATTTTTAATTGTTCTGATAGGCAGATTGTGAGCAGTCAAGACAGTATGGTCAATGCATAAACGGTTTGTGCATATCTAAATTTTACTGAATTATTATGCACTTTTCAGCTTTTCATGATCCTTTTTCCAGTGATGACTAGAATATGACACTTCAACTGTAATTTCATGTGCCTCTTTTCTGTTTTATTTTGTCTATGTTAATGTGTTGCCTAATCTGTGCTTTCCATGTCAGGAACTGTCATACTGCGGCAAGAGCTGTCTTATTGTCTGGCCAGATATGAATTACTTAGTTTTGTATTGTACATTTTTTTCAGGAAAAACATAATTTGGTTGGGAAGTGTAGTGATTAGATAGAATACAAAGCTTACATTTTTTGCAAACAATATTTGGAATTGAAAGGTTTTTTTGTATTGGAGCTCATATCTCCAAACTGTTAATATGTAAATTAACAAAATTAACTTTGTATTTCTTTCCTCAGAGCAGTCAAAGTTATGGTACGTTGGCATGAGATGATGTGAAAAGCTAACTTTTCTGATGCATTTCTTCAGTGCATTCTTCATGCACCACTCTGAATGTATTCAAAAGAACTGATAGTGTGTTAAGCAACTTATATAGTTGAAAAGAAACCTTGCAGAAAATGGTTAGCTTGTTTCAGTACATATTTCTGGATTTGATTTTTCTGTCTGTTCCTCTTTTGCAGTTCAGTGCTGATGGTGCAGTAAAAGGTAAATTGGTTTCCAAGGTTTTGAGGGAGGGATTTCCACTGGTTTGGCTTTGTACACTAAGATAGTCATTAAATAAATAGCTGGGGGGAATGTACACAAAATGCCTTACGCTTAAAGCCATGAGCAAGTGGTGTAGTTCCAATTATATTAAATTAGTCTGAGGACTGGTGAAAATAATAGGATAACGTTCTCTGAAATTTCGGGCATATTCTCCTTAAATATCCTAGCTTTGTGCTTTATAGCAAAAAATGTTTAAATTCTAGCATAGAAGAGACAAGTGAGCAAAACTAATTTTTTAAGGTACATATTTGACTTCTAGGAACTTCAAGTTTACAGCATAAGTGTGTTCTTAAAGCTGTCTTTTCTAGCTGTGCTTGCTCTGTTGTACTATTAATGGAAAATAAAATCTACTGTGGAAGATCTAGAATGGGTGAAAAAATCATATGCAGTAGGGCTTTCAACAGGCTAAGGAAAATTGCACTGTAGCTTATTCTACTGTTACTCATAAATACGTATTTTATATTTTTATACATTACATTGGGTAACTTCAAAATGTCATGTTCCATGTACCACATAGTTTAGTACACAGGAAATGTATATCAGAATGTTTATACAGCACCGTTACAACCCTATCTCTAAGACTGCGACTACTTTACTGAAGTTTACATGAAAAAAGTTTTACTATTCTATTTTCATGTTTTATAAGGGGCTAGGCTCAAGAGGGCAGTTTAGCACAAAATATCATGCAATATGAATACTGTTATAGAATAAAGAATCACAGAAATGCAAAAATCTAAAAATCCAACTTAAGTATATTTTTGTTTAATAGTAAGCTAAGATTCCTTCAAATCAGGCATAACACAACAGCAGGTAAAACTGGAGCACTTTCTTTGCCCTAAGCTATTCCTAGAGTTGAACATGAAGAATGCTTCTAGTATGAGCATCAGCTAGTACCAAATTATTTATAAGTAAATTTAATATAGCTTTAAAAGGTAGTTAAATGTCTTTTCAGAAGGACAATACACTTGAAACCTTTCATGAAGTGGTGCAAAAATGTATTCTCATGTCACCGCTAGTGAACTTCCTCAGTTCCAAGTTGTATAGTCCCAAAGAGAGAAATACTACTACTTTATCAAAGCAGATATGAATACACATTTATTACAAAAACCTACGAGTTAAATTTGTCTTATTTGATTACTGTATGAAATAAAACCTGAAACTAACAGTCACATAGAGTGTAATTTGGCACAAAATTCTGTTTTCCAAGAGGCTGAAGAGACTCGCATTAGTCTTAGACTGCCTTAAACATAGGAGCAAGATTTTTTCTGACCTGGCCCTCAATCAGAACTAACATATGCATTGCATCTTGGATAAGTTTTAGAATCTATTATTTTGAAAAAAGTTTCATGTGTATAAAAAAGCTATTACTTTTGTTTCCCATACTATGAACTGGGGTTGAAGCGTCTTTCTCCTGTGTGATCACCTATGAAGCTCTTCAGTCTCTGATCACATTTGCCTTACCACTTAACCTTGCAAATTGGAGGGGGGAGAGGGAAAGGGGGAGGTGGAGAAGCTATTTTAAGGTAAATTGGCAAACCAAAGGGAGTTATATTTTGTTTATTTACTTGGAAATTTTTTTAAGCTCATGTACAGCTTTTCTCCTGAAAAAAACCCAGAAAGATGCATTTCTTTTAAAATGGCATCTCTAAATGTGATGTGTGGCTTTTTTTTTTTAAATTACCAGAACAGTGTTAAATTGTCTGGATTTTAAAAGCTATTATGTTTTCCTTTACTACTAGTTTTTATTACTGCTTTTGGTATTTTTTACTCCATTTCTTGCTCATTTCCCAGGGAGTGTCCTGAACTTTTTGTAAGCCATTGCTACTTACGTGAAGATTGTAATTTTGAACTTGTAAATACTTAAGGGCTGTTAGTGGCTGTTAGCTGCTCAAATACATAAAAACAAACCTTGCATGCTGTAAGTAAATACATCTGTTGTGCTAAAAGTTGTTTCTATTTCAGTATTTGCTTTCTCAATACAAAATTGAGATTCTTCACACACAATACATAAGATATTTAATAATTCAGTGGTATGAAGGGGCATTGCTGTCTAACTCCTGTTAACTTTATTGGGAGTTCTGCACCTAGTTCCTTCAGTATTACATTGAGTATGAACCCTGAAGGTCATGTCCGTGCTCTGACATGTGTACAGGCATCAGTGTGTGTGAAGTGACTTCCCTTCTAAGGTGTAAATGTAATATCTTTGCTTTTGAGGTCTGAGAGATTGTTCTTTTTAAAATCATACTTAGCCCAGTTTTTACAAGACTTTTCAAGGGCTTAACTTGGAAGCTGTTTCTTAGGAGCTGGAACTGGCTGTACATTTGCAACACTTAATTGATGCTTTCCCCTCTGTACCATAATTGTGCTGAATGACAAGATCCCAGAATAATGTCAGTAGATAAAATGATGACAGAAGAATTGATTTCTTGGGGTATTGTGACTCAACTTACTGTAATTGATTCTTGGGTGGTTTTTTGGTCTAATGTAAAATGTTTCTAGGTTATACAATTTACTGCTATATTCTACAAATGACTTTGAGGAAATTGACTTTTTTGTGGGAGGAAGTCTTATTGAATAACTTCATGCCAGAACTTTATTCTAGTGGAAAGCTTAAGTGGCCTTTTTGTTTCAGCAAAAATATATAAGCCTATTTTAAAATTTACTGTAAATACCATATTTGTCAAACTGATAGATTAGTTGGGTCACTGATGTTGGTTTTCTTCTTATAATACTTCTTGAAATAAGGTAAACAAAGCTTAATTTGGAAACAAAATGTGAATTGTGTGGCAGAGAGGATATAGTTCTTTAGGTGTTCTCTAAAAAGTGAGTATCACATGCTGGAGTTGAAGCAAATTTAACTATGCATTAGAAAAATTTCTTTGTACTCCGTTCTGCACCAGAAATAATTTGCATGTTGGTAAGAGTCCATTTAACAAAACGAAGCAAAGCAATATGTGCTTGCAGTATATAATTAGTAACTGTTCCTGTAGGATCAAAGA